GATTAGGTAATTAGCAAATAAAATCACGAGATGATCAACAAAATCTAACCAATTACAATGAATGTTCGCTATGCTTAAATAACCAGAAATATTATTATTATAAAAACTATGGTTATTCGAAAATCATTGAGTTAATCTTAGCCACTAAAATCACATGTTCGAGTTTTTTTTGATGGTGATGCCGTGGAAAGGTTATAATGGTCATCAGGAATCGAACATTCCCATTTTTGAGAACCTAAATTAAAAAAAATAAAACTTTTATCAATTAACTAAAAAAAACCGGATATAATAAGTGTAGTTATTTACCAGGAATTTGTGACAGAGAATTAATTGGCACAGAGAGACTTTTAAAAGTAAGCAGTTTACTTGTAAGTTTATCTTTAGGAAAATTTGGCAATTCTGTTGATAACGTTGGAATAATTGCATCTGCATATTGGAATGCTTTTAATATTGTTAATTCATTTTTATCTTCTGCAATGCTATTATCTAACATCCGATACCATTTCGATAATTCTTCATGGATATTAGATGCAGTTGGTCTATTAAAAGGATTAGTGTCCATACATTGGTTTGCTAATTGGGTATAACACTCAGGAGTATCTTTAGCAAATTCAGGACGTAATCCATTGCAACATATTTTAATAGCTAACGCTTCATCATACTCAACATCATAATGAGGAGGTCTTCCCGTAGACATCTCGGCCATAATAATACCAAAACTATAAATGTCAGCAGCTTTTGTATATGATTGTTTATTTAGCACTTCTGGCGCAACGTAAGGTAAAACGCCATAAATACCATCTTCTAAATCAGAATCATCCTTCTTTCTAGATAATCCTAGATCTGCAATATAAGATATTATTTCACCACTAATATATTGATTTTGCAGTATATTACCGCTATGAAAATCCCCATGAATATATTCAGATTGATGAACCTTTGCTAGATTGTTAGATATATCGACAAGCTGTTTTAATTTACTTTTCCAGTTAAGATCTCTAAAATTTGAAGATAAGAAATTATGAAGACTTCTTCTATTTGCATATTGAAAGACCATCAAATATTCATTATTAATCGTTTTTTGAGTTAAACCATACACTTCAAGATTATTACCCATTAATCTAAATTCTGTGAAGTTTTTAAACTTATTAAAATAAAATTTTATAAAATTAATAATTTATATTAGATCATAAATAATTTAACCTACTTCTCTTAAAAAATTCTTTTGTGAACCAGGTAATGTTTTAAGTGCAACTACACATGATGGTGTACGTGATCGCATGCCATCATCTGAAATTATTCTTTTACCATCTAACCACGTTGCTGAAAACACAGAACCGAATCCTCCTTTACCAATGTTTTGAACATTAACTAATTTATTAAAATGAACCCATTCGATTACGTCTTCGTACGATGCAGCTTTAAGTTGAAATTCTTTAATACAATCATCGACTTCCTTATTTCCACTTGTCCATCCTTGTATTGTCTTCTGAGGGTCACATGTTTGACACCAAGCTGGCGATGTGTTATATCGGTTGCAATTTGCACATTCTCCATGCTCATAATTTCTTTTAGAACCAAAGTCATCAAATACTAACATATATTCATTTGTTGCAGTATTTTGAGTTAGACCATATATTTTAAAAACACTATCCTTTAACTGTACATAATCTAAAAACTTATTAAACATGCAAGTATTAGAACAAGCTATATCTTTTGTATAACAATGAGAAATGATTAAATGGTACTACCAGGAAAAATCATACTTCAGACTTTTAAATTTATTATTTATTATATTAACTCTGACTGTGTCCGGTAAATTAGTAAATAAAAAATACACCGTGATTTGATATGAGTGTTGCAACACTCATATAATAGTCGGGACATTTTAAATTTAAAAGCCCAAAGCGTGGTTCTCCCTTGGCAACACCCAAATATTTTAACTTACTTCTCTTAACTTGTCTAATAAATTTTGTGATCTAAATATTTTAAGGTCCACTTTAGATGATGGTATACGTGACTGTGTATATTTTTGAAATACAGGTTCAAGTTTTAGATATCGCACACCATCTAACCAAGTAGCTAAAAATTTATCACCAATATTTTGAATATTAACTAATCTATGAAAAGGAATCCATTCGATTACATCTTCGTATTTAGTTGCTTTAAGTTGAAATTCTTTAACGCAATTATCAATATCCTTATTTCCACTTGACCATCCTTGTGTTGTCTTCCAAGGGTCACATGTTTGACACCAAGTTTCAGATGTGTTATATCGTTCGCAATTTACACATTGTCCATTCTCTCGATTTCTTTTAGATCCAAATTCATCAAATGCTAATATGGGGCGCATCAAACAAAATTTCGTGTAACAATAACAATGACGATCTATTATTAGTATAACCTGTTGGATCGACATCAATTAGCCAATCACA